TTTTTTTTTTTTTTTTTTGTGAGTCGGAGTCTCACTCTGTTGCCCAGGCTGAAGTACAGTGGCACACTCATGGTCACTGCAGCCTCGACCTGCAGGGCTCAGGTCATCCTTCCACCTCAGCCTTCCAAGTAGCTGGAACTACAGGCATGTGCCACCACAACCAGGTAATTTTTTTGATTTATTGTAGAGATGAGGTCTCACCCAGTTGCCCAGGCTGGTCTTGAACTCGTGGGCTCAGGCAATCCTTTCACCTAGGACTCCCACAGTGCTGGGATTATAGGCGTGAGTTATTGCACCCAGCCACCTTAACCATTTTTAAGTGTACAATTCAACAAAATTTAGTATATTCACATTTTTCTGCGATTACAATGTCTTAAGCAAAACTAAGATCATCCTTTTGTTACCTGAAAGTTTTTTTTTTTTTTTTGAGTTGGAGTCTCACTCTGTTGCCCAGACTGGAGTGCAGTGGCCGCTCCCGGCCACCGCAGCCTCAACCTGCTGGGCTCCGGCGATCCTTCCGCCTCAGCCTTCCGAGTAGCTGGAACTACAGGCGCGCGCTACCACGCCCAGCTAGTTTGTTTTTTTTTTTTATTGTAGAGATGAGGTCTCGCCAAGTTGCCCAGGCAGGTCTCAAACCTGCGGGCTCAGGCAATCCACTCACCTCAGCCTCCCAAAGGCGCCAGATTACAGGCTGAGCCACCAAGCCCAGCTGCATATTTTTAAATAGCCCCTTTTTCTATTTCCAAAACGATATATCTTTGTCCTTAAAAATTCAGACAATACCAGCTTTGCAAACGCCATGGCCTTGAGCCTGTTTCCATCAGCCATGGTCAACCCCACCGTTCTTCGACATCACCCTCCACAGCGAGCTCTTAGGCCGTGTCCCCTTCGAGCTGTTTGCAGATAAAGTTCCAAAGACAGCAGAAAATTTTGGTGCTCTGAGCACTGGAGAGAAAGGATTCAGTTATAAGCGTTCCTGCTTTCACAGTATTATTCCAGGGTTTATGTGCCAGGGTGGTGACTTTACACACCATAATGGCACTGGTGGCAAGTCCATCTATGGGGAGAATTTCAATGATGAGAACTTCATCTTGAGGCATACTGGTCCCGGCATCTTGATCATGACAAATGCTGGACCCACACAAACGGTTTCCCAGTTTTTCATCTGCACTACTAAGACTTAATGGTTGGATGCAAGCATGTGGTTTTTGGCAAGGTGAAGGAGGGCATGAATGTTGTGCAAGCCATGGAGGGCTTTGAGTCCAAGAATGGCAAGACCAGCAAGAAAATCATCATTGCTAACTGTGGACAACTCTAATAAATATGACTTGTTTTACCTTAAAAAAATTTTTTTAGACAATACCGATCTATCACAGAAACAAAGAACTGAGTATCACATGTTCTCACTCATAAGCAGACCTTGAACAATTACCATAATACTCTAAGAAAAGAATTGGCAGTAGTGGGTATCTGCAGGGGTGGGGCACATCTCATCACCAAGGGTACCTGCATAATGAACTTGTATAGCTAACCCTGAATTGTACCCCCACATCACCTATTCTTGGTCATGGACTTAATAAGTCAGAGAGCACAGGACTCAAAACCAGCCCTTAGCCGGGTACAGTGGCTCACACCTGTAATCCCAGCGCTTTGGAAGGCTAAGGCAGGAGGATTGCTTGAGCCCAGGAGTTCAAGGCCAGCTTAGACAACACAGCAAGATCTCATCTCCACAAAAAAATCAAAAAATTAGCCAGGCGTGGTGGCACATGCTTGTAGTCTCAACTACTCAGGAGGCTGAGGCAGAAAGATGGCTTGAGCCCGGGAGGTGGAGGCTGCAGTAAGCCATGATTGCCTAACTGCACTCCAACCTGAGCAACAGATTGAGACCCCCATACCTAAAAATAACAATAAATCAAAAGTGAGGAGAAACCTCAGGATAAGAACCCAGTCCCCAGTGGAACAGGCTTCTAGAAGACTCTAGAAAAATACTGGAAATACTAGATTCTCACCACAGAGGAACTGAATTGAGAAGCTGACAGGGAGATAAGGAAACGCCTGATAAACAGCTACACCAGAAAGAAAGCACCATCATAGGTCACCACTCACTCACTCCTCCTGGCTGGGAGTGAGCTCAGTCCTGAGAGACACAAGATGCAACCAGAACCTCACTGCTTCTACCAAAAGACAGTAGAAAGGGCAACAAATGGGGGATCAAGACATCAAGTGTGCAGAGATTATTTCAAAAGATGTAAAAACACTTAACACTTAGAAAGCCGGGTATGAAGGGAGGGATGGGGCTGCTGTTTTTCACTACAAGCCTTTTTAGGACAATTTGGTCTTTTTTTGAGTCAGAGTCTCACTCTCACCCAGGCTGGAAGGTGGTGACATACTCATGACCACTGCAGTCTCTCCACCTGCTGGGCTCAGGGGATCCTTCTGCCTCAGCCTTTCTGGTAGCTGGAACTACAGGCATGCGCCACCATGCCCAGCTAATTTTTTGATTTATTATAGAGATGAGGTCTCACCAGTTGGTCTCAAACTCCCGGTCTCGGGTAATCCTTTCGCCTCCACCTCCCAAAATGCTGGGATTACAGACATGAGCCACCATGCCTGGCCAATTTGGTCTCCTAAACATTGACACAAGCAGGGCATGGTGGCTCACACCTGTAATCCCAGCACTTTGGGAGACTGAAGTGAGAGCATTGCCTGAGTCCAGGGGTTCGAAACCAGCCTGGGGAACTTGGCGATAAATTTTTAAAAATTACCCAGGCATGGTGGAGTGTGCCTGTAATTCCAGCTACTTGGAAGGCTGAGGCAGAAGGATTGACTGAGTCCAGCAGGTCAAGGCTGGAAACAGAGTGATACTCTGAGTCAAAATAAACAAATAAATAAATAAAATAAAAATTGACACAAGTAACAAAATGGCAATATCCTCCTCCCAGAAAGTCTGAGAATCTCTCGCTGATGAATCTAAAGCTGTGCAAGGCTGTTTGTGGCAACACAGCTTTTTCGTTTCTTTTTAGATGGGGTCTCACTCTTGTTGCCCAGGTTGGAGTGCAGTGGCACAATCACGGCTCACTGCAGCCTCAACCTCCTGGACTCAGGCAATCCTCTCAAATAGCTGGAACTACAGGCTCACATCACCACACCTGGCTAGTTGTTTAGAGATGAAGTCTTGCTATGTTGTCCAGGCCGTTGTTTTTGTTTGTTTGTTTGTTTGTTTAAGTTAGAGTCCATTACACCAACAAGGGGTGGCATAGTTCTTGAGGAATTTCATGTTGGGGGACATGGCAAACACTGGAGGCTAACGAAGCTGAGGTGGAGGTATGGCAGAGGCGAGGGAGAGGAGGAGGTTGTTCCCTGAAAAAGGCAGCTGAGCAGGCAGCAGGGACAGGTAAGGAGGGGCAGTTGAAGATCAAGGAACAAAGGGCAGTTCTGTTTCCCTGGGCCTTGATGGTAGACTGCATGCAAAGCCTAAACCAGGCCAGGCCAAGCAGGCCATCTTATTTCAGAGAGGCAGGGCACCTCCCAGAGAGGTCCAGCTACCCATCCCAGGACAATGGGCAGGGGCAGTGTCTCACCTGGCCCAGCACACTTCACTGGCACCTGTGAACCTTTTTTTGCCCAGAGCTTCTGCCCGTGACCAAGGATGCAATGATTTAATCTGACATTGTGAGGTCGTGTTTCACCCAGGGTGGGGCAAAGGATGACGGAAACCATCCAGGGAGGGGCTGAAAGACTGCCTCATGTGAGTGACACGCTGGCTGAAAACCAGGTCCTGAGTGCTGTCACTCATTTCTTGGACCCTCAAAGCACAAGGGGGGAAACCTGGGTTCAGAGGCAAAGGAACATGACCGGTGTCATTCAACTAGTGCATTAGCTATCTCCAAACGAGACACATAAAACAACAAATGTGTATTATTTCATGGTTTCTGTGGCTTGGCTGGGTGGTCTAGCCCACACTCTCTCATGAGGTTGCCATCAAGATGTACAG